TAATGTTTTAAGAAATGCATAGCACAAAATGGCTATTCAAATAGTATCCAGTGAGAGTGTTTTATTTGTCGATCGGTTCAACCTTTCCTCCACACAACACAATCTTATTCAACCAAACACAAGCTCACACTCACTTGAACCCCTCGGCAAACGCGCCAACTCCGTGATCATTCGATAATTATCTCTTAGTGTGGTGTCGGTACGCGGTCCCATTCTCACCAGTGTGTTAGCTTGTGGAGTAAACGTCGCAACCTTTAGACGCCTTGCATGTTTCAACACAAAACTTGCGAGTTCTCTCTCTATATTCCATCCTCTGTAGTTTCTCCACTCAAAAGTCTCAAGAACCAACATCAGCGTTTCAGGGACAGTGCTTGGTTCCTCCCAGTGAAGTGTACGAAATCCACACATACTGTTATGGGTCTGATTGCATTTTGCATAGTTATTAGACCATTAAAATTTTAGACAAGAAAACCCTTAAAGTGTTTCATAGTGTTAAGCTACATGGGCTTCCAACTTAAAACCAATTGGTGATAAGTGGAGTGGCCCATCTATCTTATATATTGCTTAGGATCCCTAATACGCCCCCTCGAGATGATGGCTCTTTGGCATCAATTTCGGAATGTTCGGGCAAAGATCGATGGGCCAACTTTGGGCTGGATCGATAAGGATCGGGTTGAACTGCGTGGATCGTGGGCTCTGATACCATGTTAAGCTAGATGGGCTTCCAACTTAAAACCAATTGGTGATAAGTGGAGTGGCTCATCTATCTTATATATTGCTTAGAATCCCTTCCAACAACCGATGTGGGACCTTTGTCCCTATTACATAGTTTGCAAAAGACTTTACGTACCTCGTTTAGCTTAAGAGAACGAAGTTTCGGGGAATGTTGGAGAAATCTCATGAGTAGATCCCACTCTGTTTCACATGTGCAAAACTCCAAGTGTTCAAGCTTGTGGAAGATGCTACCATAAGGAAACTGTGGCTGCAGTACGAAAAAACATAAGCAAGCATAAATACTGTAAGTTTGAATAAATCACAAAAGAAACTAATAGAGTACGTTTATAGGTGGTTCTTAGCAGCATATCTTAGGTTAAATAGGATTAAAAAAATTAAAACAAAAGAAGAAGACACAAAAACGTAGCTTAATTAAAAGGTGTAAACCACGACTCTTAGCCCACGTGTCATACATGAATGGGTACAAGGAGAAGTGGAGAGATCATATTAAAAGATCTGGTCATGACAGACTCCACCATTAGTGGTTAAGAACCTTTAAATGGGTTTTGTTGATAAACATGCTCATGGTGTTATCCGAACCATCGGTGTTATCAAAGATATATTATTACCTCTGAGTGTAGACATAACAAGAGACGTTTGACTGATACAAGAGACCTGAGTATGTCATCAGCGTTGCTACATGTAACCTCAACATGTGCTACCAAGATCTCAGGCAAATACTCAATCTTACACTCGTAAGCATAATCTATAATCTTGAAATACTTCAAAGAAGGCGTATTCATCACAAGCTCAGAACCATCTCCTCCGTTATAGTCAAATCTTTGTAATGAAGGCACCCTAAGTGAGAAACTATTCACGTTGTCATTATCAGCTCGGTCCAAGTCCAATATTTCAAGAATAGGGCAGCTTGATAATAGCTTCTTCGGAGTTTCATCGTCTAAGTAAATAACCTCATATAAGTGCAACGTTTTGAGCAGTTTGAAACATACCGGGAACCGAACATCCACAAGCGACACGTTTTGTAATTTCAAAGCCACAAGTGTTCCACATGTGTACAAGATCTGAGGCAATCTGCTAGGCTCATCAATCGTATAACTGTACTCGAAAATAAGCTCCCGTAAACCACGTTTTACTGCTGCTCTAATCCAAAATTCAACGTCTTCATCGTTGCATTGTTGACCTAACTTGAGATGCAAGGTTTCTAAGACTAGAGCCGTGTTTGAAAGCAAAGACCTGTCCACAAACCGGATAAATCTCACATGATCAGCATTGTTGCACCTTTCGATGTACTTGAGCTTAGACACCAACTTCCATAGATTTAGCCACCGTTTTGCTAAAAGACCAGTGGTGACGGCATCTTTAGTAGGAAGCAAGGAGAGTATGTGCAGTAAGAAATCATTGGGAAGCAAACTGATTCTGTCCATAGACTCTTCTGTGACAAAAAAAAACAAAACAAAAAAGCTAATCGCTGTCAACGCATTGAGAAGAAAACCCTATGCCATGTCAGGGACAACGACTAACCTGTTACAAAGGCAAGAGAGGAACCTGTCGTTACTGATGAGCCCTAATTAGGTTTTTCTTTTTTGTTTGATGATCGAGTGTTATATATCACTTTTGCAATTAACTTTTTTTCAAAATAATTATTAATGTATAATTGTTATTCTTTTGTTATTATAGTAAAACTCTATAAAGTAATAATATTGGAACATTGATATTTAATTAACTTATAAAGTTATTAATTTACAGAAAATTACTTTTTTAGATTTATCTATTTTAAGTATGTTTTTATGTAAAAAAAACTTGATTTACCGTATATGTATTGATTAAGTATCCTAGATATAAATTTTATATTATTCTTATTTTATTATTTGGTCTATGAAACTTTAAATATAAATACATTTTAAGTGTAAATAAAAAACAACATCAACATATTAAGAAATATTAAGAAAAACTAAAGATATATTCTCTATGAATAAAAAATAAAACATAAATTTTATATACATATTAATTCTTAATTTATATTTATATTGAAACCATAGATTTACATAAAGTTTTTTCAAAATAATATCTAATATCTTAGTGAATTGTGTCAAATTTTACACTGGACTAACTCGGACTAAAAGCTCAAATTACTCCAATAAAGATGATACTAGCAGTCGTGTAGACATTAACTGTGACTTATTAAAGACCAGAATAACATAAATTGCTGCAGAAGAATGCTGTCAAAAAACAAAAAAGAACACCAGAAGATGACTTGTTGAGAGAGCATGCATCCGACCCGAACAGATGTTTGGTCTTAGAGTAATCAGCATGATGGGCTATTCAGTTAAACACAAGCTCACAAGTGGATGAAGCCCTTGGTGACAAAGATAACTCCTGAAGCATCTGCAGTTTCTCCTTGTACTCATCGGATCTAGCAGTGAAACCCGCCTTCTTCAAGAATACTGCGGTTTTCAAGATGTACGTCGAAAGTTCTTTCTCGTATTGTGTTCCTTCGTATTCTATCCACTCAAATATTTCAAGATTTGAGGACAAACATCTTGGAACAGAGCCCGGTTGGTTCCAGTGATTTGGCCGTGGATTTATAGCAGGATGACACTGATAAAACAAAAGAAAAAGGTTGCAATGGAGAAAACATAATTAGATCACGGATTGATTTAATAAAAAAGAAATAAAGATCAAGGAGACTATAATAATAAAACACACCTGGTTGATTTTGATAACCTTTAAGACAGGAGAATCTTCAAGCAGACGCATAAATAGTAACATCCAATCCGATTTGCATGTACATACCTCCAAATGTTTGAGTCTATGGAAGCAACAACCATCAGGATACACCACCTGCATAAAAAAAGAATAGGATGAGCAATGTAACGCTCCAAGATCAAAATTAAAAGGCTGAAATTAAGAGAAGAATAACTGATTAATAGACCAAAAATATAAATACCTCTGAAGCTGATAAACATAAACGAATATGCACAACCGAAGCAGGATAATGCAGAAGCTTCTCGGGACGCTTGAGAATAACTTCAATATTGGCCTGGCGGACCTCACCGATGTTCATTGGCTCGCTAAGTGAAAAGCTACCTGAACGGTCTAGAATTTGCAAGGATTTCAAGGAAGGAGTATTTATCACAACTTCGGTGAAACCTTTAGTTTGGGTAATCAAAGACAATCTCTTCAAAGAAGGAACTATAAACTTATAACTCAGGGCATCGGCCATAAAGGCTGTTTGCTGTAGGAACAAGTCTTCAAGAACAGGACAATTAGGTAAAAGTCTAAGGAGAGCATTGGGGTTAGAGTAACTCATAGACACGAGGGATAAAGTTTTCAGAGACCTTAGGCAAACGTGATCAGGAACATCCAAACTACCGCTTTCGATTCTCAAGACCACAAGCGTTTCACAAGTGTATAAACTTTTTACACCAGGACTAATATCCCACGGATAGTATTGAAGTTTCAGCTCCTTTAGACCAAGTTTCACCGCGGTTCCAAGCCAAATCTCGACGTCATCATGTTTGAAATTTTCACGTAATCTGAGATACAGACTTTTTGTAAGACTTGACCTGCGCGTGACATCAAAGATCTGTCCACAAACCGCCTAAAGTTCTCATAATCAGGTCTCGTATCTCCCACAAATTTAGATAAGGTAAAGTGAGTGAACTCATCAAACACAAGTCTTGGTACCAGCATCCAGAGAGTCTTCCAGCGTTTAGACAAAAACATAGTTTGCACTACATCTTTGGTCAGAAGAATTTGGCAAAAAAAAATCTTTGGTCAGAAGAAACGCCAATATCTTCAATATAATTTCGTCAGGTAAGTCACTGATCCTGTCCATTTAGCAATCTGGAAACTAGAGAGACGGATTAGCACAACACAAAAAGAGGCTCTCTACTTTCACTTCCCGACGTTACCGCTAACTCGAGTTTGTTAGAATTTAAAGCAAGTAAATGGGCATAAAGTAAACAAACCTCTATGTATATGAAAAGGAACCAGACAAAGCTATTAGATAGACCGTAAAGATTTTTCCAAGTGAATCTTGAGGACGGCGATGGTCTTATTGACAGTATATATATGAACCCTAATGAATCTTGACGACGACGTCAATGATCTTTTCTACTATTATTTATTTCTTTCCTTTTTCCAGTGGTTATTAAATGGAAAATTTGGAGAAATAACAGTTAAATGCTAAGAAAATTTTACTGGCAATTCAAATTCGTAGGACCAAATGATTAGAAGAAAATCTCCAAAACTAAGAAAGCACTCTTAATCCTTACAGTCCCAAAACTATTAACTTCAACAAACTTCTATATCCATACCATAAACCCCAAAGACTGAACACTAGGAGCAGTTGATTCGTAGAAACTGTTACTCGACCAACATGCGAACTAAATAATTTAGATAGAGAATACACAAGCTCTAAGCATTTTTTAAAACACTTATAAGATACGGGGTCAAACACAACCCAACTTTGACTATTGAGAGCAAGTTCAGTCGAATACAAGCTGACATGTAGGTGAACGCCTGAAGGAAAAGGACAATTCCTTGAGCATCTCAAGTTTCTTGCCGGAGTCAGTTGATGTAGAGGAAATTGTTACTTTCTTCAAACAGATTCCGCTTCTTAGTATGAATGTTGTTGCTTCTTTCTCTTCTTTTCTTCCTTCATATCCTACCCATTCAAGAGTTTCAAGACTCGATGACAGACATTCAGGAACTGAGCTTGGCTCATTCCAGCAGGGGCGTGTGCTATCAATCTTGTGGCACTGCAATAAGTTGACATTTTATAAGGACTGGAAAATTACCCTACTCATAGACAATGAATGACTGGTCGATATGTGTAATATATATATGTACCTTTTCAAGTCTGAGATACCGTAAATTAGGGGAATCATTGAGCAAACGCATAAGTAGATTCAACCACTCTGTCTCACATGTGCATATTCTCAAGTGTACAAGACGGTGGAAGACAGTACCAACAGAGTATGCATCCTTCAATACAGTACAATACAATACATAATTAAAGAACAGGTGCAATGTGTTAGTGGCTAATTAACAAGTTTGCTCACAAGACTCTTCCCGAATATTTGATTCTAAAAGAGAGAAAAATAAGGATGCACAAGGTCAAAGACTACAAATAACAGCATTTACAGTTAGGCAGATATTATTACCTTTGAGTTCGGTAAACATAGAAAGAGATGCTTTGCTGAAGTAAAAGAAGTCAGAGTCACTCCGCGAGAACTATGAGAGGCGACAACATCTGCCTTAACAATTTTAGGCATATCTTCAATGAAACAAAACCCAACAGCATCATAAAATATGTCCATGTATTCCAAAGAAGGAGCATCTATCACAAATCCATCTTCACCTTCTACAGATGTTTTTGATGGTTTATACAAAGATGCACTCTTGAGAGAAGGAACCTTGATTGTGAAAATAGTTACATTGTCATGGAGACATAGTTCCACAACCAAATCTTCAAGAACATGACAACTGGACAAAAACCTCCTGACAAACTCATCACCTGGGTACATGACAGATACAAGGCTCAAAGTTTTAAGAGTCGGGAAAGAAGGCAAGCTGGTAGAAACATCCATAAGAGTCACACTCTTTAGTTTCAAGGAAACAAGCATTCCAGAGCCTGTTTTATATAAACTCCTTGGAATTATAACTGGAGTTTTAATGGAAGAACAGTCTATCTCGATACTCAAGTCACGCACGCGGCATTTAACAGCAATTTTAATCCATATTCCAATATCAACAACAAGAGACTTTTCTGTAAGTTTGAAATGCAAAGTTTCTACGGGTGCCTCGTGCAGAATCAAAGACCTGTCCACAAAGCGGGAAAACCTTCCATTATCAATAATATCCTCACAACTATCGTCGTATACAAGCTTTGGCACTGACTTCCAAAGATGCTCCCATCGTTTTGAAAAAACCATTGTGGCCACAACATCTTTAGCAGTAGGCAGTTTTGATAGTATTCTCAAGAGGAGCGGTTCAGGCAAATCACTTATCCTATCCACATGAGTCATCTTCCCCTTTCAAATACCAAACTTTCAGCAAGTCTGAAAGTATCGAACCAAAAAAAACAAGGAATCTGAAATTTTAGGTGTGTTTTTCTCTCATAAGCCAGACAAAGCAAAACCTAGGGTAAGAAAATTGTTATGTAGTTCAAAAACAAATGAACATGTAATCTCAAGAAAGCGTATAGTTAGCGCTCAGACAGAGTTGTACAAACCAAAAATTCGTTCAGCCTTTTTGTCGAACAGTTTCCGTTCACTATAAACCAAAGCTGAAGTAATGAATTTACGATTACCTTAATCTATACGGAGATTCTTGGAAATTATTACAGCTCAATTCTCCAGCAAATCCACCGCTTATGAAACTGTAATCTGAAGAACAGGAGGTACAAGACATGTATGTGGGGGCATAGGTCCATAATCATGTGTTCAAAGAAAAGGAAAATAAATCGCCGATGCGTTCAAAAGAAGGGAAATGAATCTAATTTCGGCCCATGAGCTCAATTGGGGCCCAAATCTTACGCGGCTATTGAACGCGCATATAGGTCCATAACTTCAGATGGACATAAGCTGACAGACTAAATCTTATATATATAAAAAAAAAACATATGCAACAAAAATGTAATAGATAATAACCGGAAAAATCACATTAAAACTTTGAAAGTGGCATGTACTAATACACATATAAACTTTAAATTTTTTTGACTAACAGTTAAACTTTCAAAATGATATCCTATGTCACAAAAAACCTTCGATTTAGCTTATTAGTTCATCAATTTAAAAAAATAATTTGTACATCAGCTAAATGTGATGATATATCGATTTTTTTGAAAAATAATAATGATTAATTAATAAAATAAATAAACTAAACTAAAAATAAAAAATAAAGAAAAAATCAGAAAACTAAAACAAAAGTTTATAAAATTAAATAAAAATCCACAAAATAAAAAAGAAAATTCAGAAAAATAAATAATATTGCAAAAATAAATTAGATTAAATCAGAAAATTAAATATAAAATTCAAAACCAAAAATAAAAAAATCATAAATTATATAAAATCCATAAAAACAAATAAAATTTTTAAAAATAAATTAGATTAAATTAAAATACAAAAATAAAAATAAAGAAGATTAAATTAAAATGCAGAAAATTAATTGAAAATTAAAAATTTGGTAAGCTATATTTTATCCTTTTGTTTTAATAAAATAGATAGTACATCTCATTCTAAAATCATGTTGCTGAGTAACCCCATTCAAGTGAACAATATCAGGGGGCGAAAAGCTTAATAGGCTTAAATAAATATATCCATCCCCTAGATATTATTTGAGTAATTTGATACATATCATTTTTACAATTATTTTTATTAAAAATGACATGGCATGTTAGAATAGAAGGCATGGTTAATGGATTAATATGACATGACAATCACATTTAATGTATATAGAAATAATTAATACAACATAATTAAAATAAATCTATTTAAATATGACACCGAATAGAAATATAAAAATACTTTACAAATGACGAAATGATATCTAAGTCTATTTTTATAATCATATAATTTTGTTACTAAATAATATTTTTAAAGCTGACAAAATAAGATTTTTTAAAAAATTATTAACTTTTAGTTGAAACAACATTTGTTTTATTATGATATCTATAAATTTTAGAAATCCTATATTATTTTGTTTTAATATAAAAATTTGTATCATTTTTTTTGAAAATGATACAAATTGATTTAATATATCTTCATTAAAATAAATAATTGTATATTGTGGGAACCGAAATTCGCACCTGTCGGTTTCCGTAAAATAAGGAAAGTTAGGAAAACTCTAATTTTCCAGAGGAACCGGATCTCTGCAAAAGCCAACGACAAGTAACCAAGAACGCGATTAATATGAATAAATTGAAAGATATAAAAATAAAAACGAGATTGAAAGCAAGAAGGATTCTTATTCCGAATTCGCGTAAGAACGGTTACAACGAGAGGTGCCTTAGCTGCGTGAACCGTCGGCGAAATTCCTAGTTCTAGCAATCTAAGACTAAAACCCTTGTTAACACGCAGGTCGATAACGAAAACGGAAAATTGCCTAAATGCTAAGTTTGGTGGTGAAAGCTCTGAAAACTAGTGTCCCTTGCTTCTGCCCTAGACCTCTTATTTATATACTCCTCGCCTTGGCCATTCGGTCTTTCCATTTCGCCCAGATTTGATTATATCGGGAATTTTCCATTTTTCTCGATCCTTCCTTTTCTTTCGCGGAAATCTTCTATTTTTCTTCAAACCTTCCTTTTATCTTCAAACTTGACATTTATTTTCCTTCTGCGAGTAAACCGTCAAAACATTATCGTATCTTCGGTTTAGATTCCGTCAAGATCGGGAGATGGGTTTTTATCGCGTTTTAGGACCTTCCGGGCCGTTCTGCGATAAATCCGTTTTCCGACTTTGTACGGGATCGTTTCCTGATCTGATGCCGTTTTTAGTAAATTCCTCGAACTAATCGTAAGGTTTTACGATTTTCTCGACGTTTTAATTGAAAACGCGTTTTTTACGATTTACTCGACGTTTTATTAAAAACGCGTTTTTTATGATTTCAACGAGAAATCTCGAATAAATCGTATGGTTTAGGCAATGTTCGGTGTTTCGTTTAACCGTTGCCGTTTTATACGATTTCTTTGAGTTCTTTATCGAGAAAGCGAAGTTTTACAGTTTTTATCGTAAAACTCGAACGATAGGTCGGATCGAGATGGAACGGGAGATGTTTCGGCCGTGGTTCAGAACGCGACCATGTCGAAAGACGTAAGTTTCGAATCGGGAATACGGGAGATCGAGGCGCGGGATATCGGGGAACTCTCTAATTCGCCGGTGGGCGAACTAGTCGAGTGTCTCCTAGTTCGCCCATCGGCGAACCAAGCCGGCCCGGCTTAGTTCGCCGATGGGCGAACTAGTCTAGCATCTCCTAGTTCGCCCATTGGCGAACTAAGCCGGGCCGGCTTAGTTCGCCGATGGGCGAACTAGTCTAGTGTCTCCTAGTCGGCTTAGTTCTCGAGTTTTATAAAACGATCTTTAATTTTTCTAAAACGGCTTTTCGAGTTTTATAAAACGATCCTCGAGTTTTATAAAACGATCCTCAAGTTTTATAAAACGATTCACGAGTTTTATAAAACGATCCTCGGATTTTATAAAACGATCCTCGAGTTTTATAAAACGATTCTTTGGGTTTTATAAAACGATTGTTTTATATTTCTGCGGGTAGTTTCGGCCGTTGATTCCGTCGTACCGATTTTGACCCCAACATATATATATATATATATATATATATATATATATATCATAAGTATAATTTAAAATAAATCAAAATGCTTCTTTAACTTAATTTTACTTTAACTAAATTAAAATTTATATTTAAACATTATGAAAATAATAAATAGAATATTAACATACTTTTACTTTAAATATTATTTAAATTTGAAATTTTTATTACTGCACATGCATGGTGCAAGAAAACACATAGTTTAACATAAAAAAAAAATATTTTGAAATCATCTTTATATATGCTCGTATGTCTGTCTTAAAGATTTCATCAAGGGGTGATCATAAAAAATGTCCCTTTCTGTAGAAGTCCCACGACCGAAATCAAGCTGACATATTGAAGAACTTCTTGGTGACACTGATAATTCTATCAGCATCTCAAGCTTCTCTGTAGGATCAGTAGATTTAGGATAGAAAGTTGCATTCTTCAAACAAGCAGAGTTTCTTATGATGAATTGCGCGACTTTGATCTCTTCTTCTCTTCCTTCGTATTGTGACCATTCAAAAGTTTCAAGACTTGACAATAAACAGCTAGGAACATGATCAGTGTGACACCCGTCACTTTGAAACCAATAACAAATAATAATTTTACAATAATGAATAATATCTTTATATAAAAAAAATATTGAAAGGTCAAAGTTTACGTCGAAAAATCAAGTAATTAAAATAATTTCTGAAATATCGATAATAACATAAACGATAAAGTTTCAATAGCGGGAAGGCCCATTAGCGATAAAAGCCCAAAAGTATAAACTTGTGAAATCCGGAAGATAAAAGACGTGAAAGCCCAATAACCCAAATAGCACTGGTCCGATAGAATTACTCCTGCTCATCGGTCTCACCTGAAAGGAGGAAGGAAAGGAGGGGTGAGCAACAGGGGAGTCGCTCAGTGAGGTATGGGATGCTAAACTTCAAATCACTGACTCAGTACATAGCACTACGACTATGTAAACCTAGTTCTAGCATGAGACAAACACGGTGATAAACCACCACACAGAACACACAATGCCAATCCAGTACACTAGCCAACTACCAACTATCAACTATCACCCATACGCTCATAGTACAAAGCTACTCCCTGCACCGCGCATTTCCTCATAAGGATATACACTTATACCCGCTGCGTCGCTAGTACAGTCTGTCTCTGTACCCCCGCACTACCACCCGCTGCGTCGCTAGTACAAACGTCTTTGTACCCCCGCACATAACCCGCGGCGTCGCTGGTACCTCACTGTACCCCCGCCCAATACCCGC